GTTCCGGCGGATGGCCATGATGGCATTGCGGATGTCCTCTTCATCAGCATTCGAGCTCACATGCACCTCTTCAAAGTCCACTGGCACACACGCATGCCTACAGTAGAGTCAGGCTAAAGAGGCTGCCTTAAGGCTTTCTACACCTCCTCCTGAAGCCTGTACAAGTCTTTCCCCTTCTGCTTCCCACCTTGACCTGACTCCAGCTAAGAGGTAACTGGACCCACCACACCAAATAAGAGGTTCACACTTAAAATCCAACAATGCATTGTTAGCAGTACGGATGCCACCTTCCTCCTGCCCGTGTCAGCCTAGCAGGATGAGAAACACTGGGATGCAAGCCCTGGGTTTACAAGCAGACTTTTGTGCCACAACCCCACTGGGTACTTGGGCAAGGTACCAGCTGAAGGGATTCTGGGTTCACTGTGTTTCTTGGCACAAAGTTCTTGGGGGTTTCCATCTGGGCCTGGGGTACAATCCTCCCTGGATGAGAAGGCAAGATCCAGGCCCTCCATACCTGAATACAGACTTAACATGCAACATGAGCTCAGGGCCGATGCCATCCCCTGGGATCATAGTCACTGTGTGACGCCCACCATACTTAGCAGATGGAGGCTGGAAGAAGGGAGAGGGTAGAGGTGAGACCTTGGGAACCTCAATGTGTACCCTGATTTGAGCCAGTTCCCTTCTTCCCACCAGCACCAATCCCACAGGCCAGCTAAAGCAGGCAGGGTACCTGTCCAGGGGCTCCTGATCAGCAGCCACCACCCCCTCAAGCCCACCTGGACTTGGGTTAACCCCAAAGCAACTAAGAGCCCCTCAAATCTAATAGAGAATACTCACAATTGTTTGTTGCTAGAAGGAGGACAGAAAGGAAGAAGACATGGATCAGCCAAGGTTGGAGGAACAAGGCTGTGACCAGGGAACTGAGGTCTTTTCCCTGGAGATGCTGTCTAACATAACTCAGAGAAAGGTGAGGGGTGAGTGACCTCTGGAGATCAGGCTTCAGAGGGAAGGACAGGAGGACCAGGGAGCAAAGACACAAAGGCATGTGTGCACGGACACATGTACACAAAGTACATACAGCCTCATACATACACAGTATGCACATGTATGTACATGGAAACACATGAGCACAGTTCTCCCTCACATGTATGTGTGCATATGCAAACACACATTCAAGGCTGGTACTTACTGAGGAAATGCTCCTTCGTGGGGCCTCATGGGTACCCAGAACCTGTCAAAGAGAACCCAGATGCCAATGTTAGGTAGGTGTGCAGTCCCAAAAGTCAAGTTGGCAAGAGCTACTCTAGTTCTTGGCAGAGAGGAACTGATAATCAGAGAACAATAATTCACCATGTGTCTGGGACATTCCAAAGTCAATACTCCCAACAACTGTCCTACATGAGCACCGGACAAAGTTGTCCCAACACTTCATTCCCCTTGTGGGTCAGCATAAGAAAAACTTTATGTCCCAATTAGGCATAGTAGCTTTAATCCCAGCCCCCAGGAGGCAGAGGCAAATAGATGTCTTTGAGTTCAAGGCCAGATTGGTCTACATAATGAGTTTTAGGTCAACCAGAGTGACAAAGTAAGGCCTTGTCTGTAAAACAAAACAGAAAACAAAACCAAAACTGTATATCCCCATCCCACTTTTGTATTGGATTTTAATTCTTTCTGTAAAATTATTGCAACATGTGTAAGGAGAACAACTGGTAAACTTGACATACTGCAAAAGGAAACTATCAAAAAGCCACTGACTCTGAGCAGTAACTTCATCAGGTCTTTCCTCGCTTTTCCTTATTACAAAGCCAGGACATGGCCACTATAGTAAATACAAATGGCGAGTTAAGGACGAAAGAGCACCCCACTGACCTGGGATAAGCACTGTCACCCCTAGGGAATGGTCCTTCAGAACAGAAATAAAAATCAAATGCTTAGAAAAATACAGCCATTTCTAGAAGACTGGTGGCAGATCCCAACCTCTAGGATGGCTTTCACAAGGGACTGTAAGCTGCTTTGTGGTGTAGCCTGGATTGAGGATGAATATGCCCAGGTCTGTGAGTGGGAAGCAGCTATGTTTGGTCATGCTGGTGACACTGACAGCTTCAGAGAAAAAGCTGTCTGGGCCAAATGGACTACGTGCTAAGAAGTGACCCACTCTCCTGAAGGGAGAGGTCATGTCCTCAGCTCCACAGTAAAGCTTTCCTCCCCTCCGTGCTGTGCCCCTCTCACTTAGAATACTAAGGAGGCAGTGGCATGGTATAGTCAAGTTCTTCCTTGTAACTTGAGGATTCTCTGCCACTCACCCACCAGACAGTCACAGAGTGTTCTATCCAATAGCAGAGACCCTGTGGACAATTCTAAAGAGCCATGCCTTCTTCCCAGAATATCAGAAGGCTTAGGTAGAGTCTGACCGTTCCCCTCTGGGTTCCCTGGCCCACAGTTATAAGAGGCTCAGTTACCCAGACACTAGCAATATAGGAATGCTACTCAATGGCTCATGCCAAATGCTAGGAAGGTTGACCACTCTGACCAGAGCCCTAAGGGTCCCTCACCACATATGTAGCCACAAGTATACTTGTTGTCTTTCTAGTACTTATCAATATCAGATTCTGTCTTGTCTGTAGGGTCTCCATGCTTTCCTTTAAAAGGTAGCATAGATTTCCTTTCCTCCTAGGTTGTTAAATTCTACTTATACCTTATCGACTACCCCTCTAAGAGACATCACTCTACCTGATTATTGCCTCCTTGATCTCTTCCTAGCTTCTGAGAACACAGCACATGACTGTCTCATCCTCTACTACTACAACCAAGCACAGCGCCTGGCCCAGATCTGGGACCACAAGGAACATTTTCTAAGTCAATAGGCTAAGCACATCAGAATATGAAAAAAAAAAAAAAAAAAAAAAAAAGTTGGAGACCAAGGATATCTGAGTCCAAACCCACCATCTGCTACTCTTGAAATGGCTCAGTTAATTCCTTCTGGACTTAAGCTGTGACAATGATCTAGCCTTCTAAGGGCCTGCACCAGGTCTGGATCAAAATCTGTGCAGCCCTACTCATGGATGGCAACATCATTGCTAGGGCTGAACCTGTCCCAAAGCTGCCTTCCATGCCAGGTGTTACAGAGGGCACTGTTCCAGTCCCAGTAAACTCCCCAAACACACCCCCTGATCTTATTTTATTCAGATATGTGTGGTTTCTTTTAGGGGAGTTCAAAGCTCTCCTTCATAAGCCCAGGTTGCCCACTCAAGCAAGCCCAGTATAAGGCAAGTTGAGAAGTTCATAGGCCTTCTGCTCAGTCATCATCCTTTACTAGTCTAGAGAAAGACAAAGGTCCAGGGTGATACAATCTCCCACTGATGGGCTCCCATACTCCATGTCTTCATAATGCTTATTTGTCATGTTTATGTTGGGTCAACTGCCAATAATGACAGCATGATTTCCCAGGGGATATCAACCTGCAGGATTCAAGACCTTGAATTCTCTATATGGATTTCCATACCTAGGTTAATCAGTCTCAGGGCAAAGCCCTGCCTGGCTACCAATCACTCACTGCCACCTAGTCCTATCCCAACAAAGGCACACAAATGTTCAGGAGGAAAGGTCTCCATCAAGAGTCTACAGAAGACTAGCTGCTGGAGCCACCCAGGCCTCTGGTAATCCTCTATCTGCTGCTGATCATTCATCATCAATGTGGAAGAACATGTGGCAATCAGAAGACAATTTTGTGGGGTCCTTTTTCTCCTTGGCATTTTGGAAGGTCAGAGTCAGCAAACAGTTTGAGCACACGAACTCTTCTCTCCTCACTAGAACCCAGAGAGAGAGAGAAGAGAACTGACCTAATGCCACGTTCTGGGTCAGTGGGAGAGCAAGGCCTGGAGGTCATAGCTCTTATTCCCCAGAGCTAGTTGTTGGCTTGCTCATGCTAAGCAGTGCTAACTGGGAGATAAACAAGCCAACCAAGACCCCAAAAAGAAAACCAGAGAAGCAAAGCCCAGCGGCTTCCAGCCTCAGGACCCTGGTTCACTATCATTACAGGGGTTTGGGCTTGCTTGTTGGTCTTCCGGCTAGAATTAAATATCAAGGCGCTTGGGAGGCAGGAGACCAGGAGCTGGAAGAGGGATCAAGAGTCATTGGTAACCACGCCTATAATTCTAGTACTCAGAAGGCAGAGGCAGGAAGATTTCTCAGTTCTGAGGCCAGTCTGGTCTACAGAGCGAGGGCTACACAGAGAATCGCTGTCGAGAGAGAAGACAGAGAAGAAGAGGGAAAGGGAGCCAGAGACTGGTAAAGTCGGACTCTCCACCTCCACTAAGACAGATGACAAAATATTCCAAGAGTGGGAATACAAAGGAGGATTTGAGTCCGGTTTTACGCGCAGGGTGGACCAGGACACGTGACCTCTTCAGAAGGACTTCCACAAGGACACTACGGCGGTCCACCTTCACAGGCTTTCCGGAGGGGTCCCTGTCATCAGTCACAGACCCCCTCCATAGGAGCCAAACCAGAATCAACTTCGGCCAACCTCCTCGCCGACAGCAGAAGCGACCAATGAACCTCAGAGTGCAGCCTTCTTCCCTCCCCTCCTAAGGGCCGCACAGCCAATCGAATTCCAGGTTGCTCAAAGACCCCTTACTCCACTCCCGGTCTCCATTGGGTGTGAAGTACCCCAGTGAGCGCTGCAATTGCCCCACCGCCCATTCACCACTAACCTCCCAAGGACGGCAGAGGAGAGCTGGCTTGAGTACTGCCTTTGCAGCACCACCAGCCGCTATCGCCACCTTCAGCGCCATGACGAAAAGTGAGAACCTCTACAGGCCAAAACGTTTTAAGACGCCGTTCTCGCGACGGTTCGGCATGGCGAGAAATCCGGGGTGGTAGCACTACGCACGCGCAGGGTTGCCATGGTTCTTACGCCCCCTTCCGGTGCCTGGAGCATTGCTGTCGCCATCTTGATGGGGGGTTGCCGAGAAGGAGGGAAGTGCCACCGGTTGGGACCTTGGCTAGGGAAGCGGACACGTCAGTGCGGCCAGCAACGTCACCATGCATGACCCAGCCCGCCTGCGCAGGATTGGTTGCTGAGGCCGCTTACGCGTCGCGCTTCCTCGTCTGTTCCGCATGTTCGGGGCGGCTTGTTCTCTTTTCCTCTCGGCAGAGAAGAGGCAATGGCGGCGATGGCATCTTTCGGCGCCCTGGCGCTACTCCTGCTGTCCAGCCTATCTTGCTGCTCAGGTAGCGGCCTGGCCGGAGCTTGTTTCGGGCGAGCCTCTGTCCCTTGGCAGGTGGTGCTGGGGAAGGAAGGGTGCGGGCGAGGTGGGGGTCTGGTTTCCCCGGGGTTCGTCGCAACTGGAGGGATCCCCCCTTCCCCATGGGTGTCGTGTCGTGGCGACTAAAGCACCACACACACCACCACCACAGCCGGCAGCCAGGCCGCTGTAAGAAACTTCCCTGTCTGCTTTTGGGAGAGCGCCAAAGTTGCACCATGCTCCGGCTACCAGCTCTGGCTGGGAAGGTGATAGTTATGTCCTTGGTTCCTGTGTCAGAAGGTAGTCCAGTGATGACAGAGGAACCAATGCTACGTAGGCCAGGCCTCCCCAAGAGAAAGCTAAGAGAAGGAATAAGGACCTTCCAAGCGGCGGAGCAGAGTAAGAGCACAAGGCAAGTTAGGTAGGGAGGCAAAGAACCGAGCAAGGGCCCAGAACCTCCACTTTCCGTGAGGCCCTGCTATATCCATTCTAACGTTCCTAGCAGAATTGAGCTGTAAACAGACGCATTGATACTTGTGAGCCAATTGTAACACCTGGTCGTGGGGTTGAGCTCAATCTGGAGTCCACATGTGTTTTGCAAGTTGTTACTGCCTCAGACCTGAGAGCCTGGACTAAGCAAGATTTGGTTTCTGTACATACAGGTAGCCTCCTGCTCACCTCTTAGAGAATCCTCCAGCCCGTTGCTAGCAGTGTCTTCAAAAAAACAAACCTGGCTGTAAACCCCTTTTAGGGGCTCCACAGTGTCCACAGGAAAAAAGCCCAGCTTAGCAGGTCACAGAAGGGTTGGTGAGATCTGACCTCTGAGAACCATTCCCAGGCATCTTCCTCGTGCTATTCACAATGAGAACTTTCCCACTTACTGTTTACTTCATACCCTGTGACTCACTATCCTTATTTTCCTGCAGCCACTTTTTTTAGAGGTGCTTAGTTTACAGGGACAGGTTGGGTGTTTGGGTCCAGAGTTTACTTCTCTCAGGAAACACTAGGACTAGTCTTTATATTATTTCAGCTGGCTAGCTCTAGAGATCCTTATCTTGAAAGTTCTGTGTTGCCAGCACCCCACTTAGTATCTTCAGAATGCTTTCCTTTTGAAGGGCAGGGTTACACTGTATCCTTGGCTTTCCTGGACTCACTTTGTAGACCAGGCCGGCCTCAAACTCAAAAAGATCAGCTTGCCTCCGCCTTCCTGAGTGCTGGGATTAAAGGTGTGCCACTGTGTCCGTCTCTGCAGAATGCTTTCAGTAGGCTATTGTGACAGTACATGGCTCTGAATTGAGACCACTGGGCCTCTGGGGTACTCCAGGAGCAGGCAAGCTGCTTTGTGGCCTCCCTGTCATAGACTCAGATACTAACTTAATAAATCAGCCCCCCTGCACTCCTCAAACCCACTCCTTCTCCTCCCATGTTGTTACATCAAAGCTCACCTCTGCAGAGCTTTCCCTACCCCACCCTGGCCTGTCTCAACAGCCTGTAATAACCCCCACTAGACTTCTGACACAGGACATCTCCCAGACACCACTTTCTGTCAGGAACAGAAGGATTTGTGTGGCTTCAGCTCACCAAATCTGAGAAGCAGAGCCTTTTGACTTTTGCCTGGAACACACAAATTTGGCTTTGCCTCCTCCCCACAGCAGAGGCCTGTCTGGAACCCCAGATCACCCCTTCTTACTATACAACCTCAGATGCCGTCATTTCTACAGAGACCGTATTCATCGTGGAGATCTCACTGACCTGCAAGAACAGGGTGCAGGTGAGACGGTAAAAACTCAGCAGAGAGGGTGAAGGGGAAGAGGTGAGGGTGGCAGTGTTCTTTCCTGGCAGTTGACAGTGATCCAAGGTTCCTGTCAACAGGGAGAATAAGGATTCCAATTCACAGGGTTCAGGAGAGATGAGGGCACAGCGAGGCCAGATCCTAGCAAGTACTTCAAGAGCATTTTCCTGACCTGCTTGGTATGCTTTGCCTCCATGCAGTAATGTTGGTAGACACCCCACTGTTTCCTGAATGAATGTCTGGAATGGGAGAATACTAGGGTCAGGCCCCAGGCCCCTCCATTTTCTTTCTTGCAGTTTGCTTGAGTGTGTGTATGGATGTTCTGTAACTTTTAAAATTGAGAAACCCTAGCCTCAACCCCTGACCTGCTCTTCTAAAAATCTAAAAAAAAAAAAAAGAAATTGAAACTTTTGGGGGGACAATACTGCTAGGACTAAACACCTCATTTGGTACCTCCTTCTCAAGCTCCCAAGAAATGACAAGGCCATTTCTTTTATCATCCCACTTCTATGAACAGCTAACAGGCTTGCTGTGGGTTAGGGTAAGCTGGTCATAGGGGAGATCTAGCTGTATGCACCTCTAAGGAAACAGATGAAAAAAGACGGTGACAGCATCCGTGGGCGTGGCCTAGCATGGCTCTGGGCTGGCTGTGGTAGGCCTATTCCTTTGGTCTTCCGTGGCAACCGTTACCAACATAATATACCCCTCAGCTGACCTACTCTCCCTCCCCAGCCATGGTACTGCTTTGGGCAGTACAATGGGAGTTCTGTGTGTGCCCAGAGAGGAGGAAAATGTGACTCTTGCTTTTTATCATCCCCTCGCCCCATTCAGAACATGGCTCTTTATGCCGACGTAAGTGGAAAACAATTTCCTGTAACCCGGGGCCAGGATGTGGGCCGATATCAGGTAAGGGATACTGCATCTAGGGTTGTTGGGGAAATGGCTCAAAGCAGGATTAGAAACCAAAGACTCAAGCACTGCAAATAGTGGTGCTATATGTGCCAATACTAGCAAAGTAATCCCTCATGTGTGCTATGCCTACCCCTTGCCAAACACCCGACCAGGTGTCCTGGAGCCTGGAGCACAAGAGCGCCCATGCAGGTACCTATGAGGTCAGATTCTTCGATGAAGAGTCCTACAGTCTTCTAAGGAAGGTGAGTATCATCTGAAACTCCTCCCAGGCCCCAAAGAGGGAGGTCATGCCCTTTTCTGCATTCCCCTTCTGCACCATCAATACTCTAGAGGCCTAGGTTAAATGGAACAGGACCAGCCAAGTGGGTACCTTCCTGAGCTCTTGCCCCTCCTCCTTTATTTGTCTCTTGCTCGTTTCTTCCTTATTTGGGCAGCCTATCTAGCACTTCTTGACCCTAGCACCTTCCTTACAGGCTCAGAGAAATAATGAGGACGTTTCCATCATCTCACCCCTGTTCACAGTCAATGTGGACCATCGGGTAAGTGTCTTGGAAGCAGAGAACACAGAGCCCATGTCATCTTTTTGGGTTGTCTAAGAATAAAAGCTCTCATCCTCTGTAGCCCAAGTTCTGGACTATCATTGATCTGTGTGTTCTGGAAACAAGTCATTAGGTTAGCTGGTCCACTCCCCTGAGCTGTCTTTTGTTCTTTTTCTTACAGGGTACCTGGAATGGGCCTTGGGTATCCACGGAGGTGCTGGCTGCAGCAATTGGCATAGTGGTCTACTACCTAGCCTTCAGTGCAAAGAGCCACATCCAGGCCTGAGGGCAGGATCCTCAGCCCTCCATTGCTTCTTTCAATAAACAGTCACTGTTTGCCACGAATACACTTAAGCCCTGGGGCTCTTGTGTCTATGGGGAGAGCTGAGATCCAGCTGCCTCTGTCTGCCTGGAAAATAGAAATACTGAGTGGAGAGCTGCACCTTCCCCAGTCTCCTCTGTTTTCTTTGTCCTTGTCTTGATTGCCAGCATGGTTTGGGCCTTGTTCTTCTAGTATGTGGCCTTTTTTAAAAAGACCATCTTGACTGGACAGCACTTTAGAGGCAGAGGCAGGCAGATCTCGGAGACTGAGGACTGCCTGGGCTACACGGAGGAACCCTGTCTTGAAAAGGGGGGGGAAAAAGAAAAGGAAATGCCATATTTTCTTTCCTCAACAGTCCCCAGGGCAGAGCTAGGTCTCCTGGTTTGTCAGGAAATATTCCCATGGCCAGCCTAGGGCAGCAGGGCCCTGGGATTCTAGGACTGCCCTGGGCTCAGGGGTTCCATTACTGCACCTGTGGTTGGTAATGTGACAACTGGCCTCATCTTTGCAGTGGCTTTCATGCTGTCCTTGCTTACCAGTGAGGCCCTGTCTTGCTGATGCAGTTCAAGTTGTCACATGTAACAGCTGTCCTGAGCACAAAGGAATATTCCATTTGGACTCCACACCCTGGCCCTGCTGCTGCTCACAAAATCCAGTTTAGTGCTGGATGTTTGAGGAACACCCTCTTAACACCTCCAAGAGAATCTTAGTTCCCTAGTGAGGCCTCTACTCGCTAGGTTAATAGTATGTAAGGTCTGTAAGACAAAAGCCAGAAAGCCCTGCTTGTACTTACATGCTCCATGTCATGTTTTTGCACAGGCTGGACACCAGCCACTTGATTAGTACCATGGAAAGCTACCTGGGGATGAAGAGGCTCGATGCTAATCCCAAATAAAAGCATCCCACTGCATGCCAGTTTTTTCTCCAGGATAGATCATTGGAACAGCTGGTCACACCCTAGCACCTAGGCCTATTAATCAAAGTAGTAGGGGGTCCTTCACCTTTGTGTGTGGTTGGTTGTTGGCTAGGGGACTGGGACATGTCCTAGAGGATGCGGGCACAGTTTATGACCTACATTCATCCAAGCCAGGCGGTGTCTGTCATCCCTAGTTCTTGGAATGCACTAGGGAGTGGTCCTGACAGTATTGGAGAATCAGACAATAGGTGAGCAGCAAACTCAGGAAAGTGAAAAAGGGCAGAAGTGGTAACAGTAGCTTTTCCCCTTGGCTGCTACAATAAATGACTATGTTCTGCCAGTAGTCAGTCTGTAATCAGTCAGTGGCAACAGCTATTAGCCAACCAGTTAACTCTTTCTGGCTCTGGCTCCACCACCTGGCCAGATAGCCAATGACAGCCAAATGTGAAGTTGGTGTTCCAGGGTATCAGTAACTCGGTACTGCTAGCCTCCTGTGCCAGCCAAGGCAGCATAAGCTTCAGACCAGTATCCACCCACATTCCTGGTCCTTTGACTGCACCAGAGAACAATGATATGCCAGAGCTCCTTTGGGAGGAAGGCCCAAGGAATACTTGATTTTGGTCTCCTTCATTTGGAAAGGGGCTAGGAGCTGGAGAGGCCCCTAAAAAATCTGGAGCCCCTTCCCATCCCTCCCTGTTCACCAGGACTACCATATGTATTCCCACCCAGAGTTGAAGAGTATGGCAGGGAAATGAGGTGGTGCCCTTGTGACCCAGTATTTCCACCAATAGGAGTCAGCTTCTGGGAATGGGCCCTTGGATTTCCATCTCACACCCATCTTGGCATCTTGCCTATCACCAATTTGCCATAGAATAATCTGGGCGTTCAGAAACTAATGGACTGACATCTCCCAGCACAAACAGCATGATGACAATAAACACAAGGAGTCCATGTTAGAGTAAAAAGGCAGCTTGCTTTATTCTTGGGATATAGGTGGGGAGCAGGGGCATCCTGTCACCTCCAATATGAGCTTCACCAAGCCTGAGATGCACCAAACAAGTGCCATATTTAAAAGTCACACAACCTGGAAGAGGTTCTAGTCGCATCTCTACCTTCCTTTCACTGGGTCCAGACCTCCCAACTCCCACCAGGTCATCTCTAGGCTAGATAAGGTCTTCCCTGTTGCTCAGTGGGTTTGGCCCTCTTTGCTCAGGCCACTGAGAAGAGTGGCTCTTTTCCAGATGGCATAGGACAGGAGTTAGCAAACTCCTCTTGGATGGACATTGTGCCCACAATCCCTGTGGTCTCACTCTCCTTCAGTCACTGAAGAGAGAGGTGGGCCCCGTGGGTAAGCCTTGAAAGCCAAGGCAGAGCCTCCCTGCTACCCCCAAGAAGAGGCTACCAGGACAGCTGCTTTCTATTCTTTCCCATTCCCTTCCTTTCCCCTCCCCCCCACCCCTCCCTCTCTCTTCGTCCCCCCCAACCTCCTTCCCAGCCAGCACTCAGTGGGGTCCACCTTTGTCAGGCTGCCTAAAGGAGCTGCCAGCCCCCAGAGCAGATCCACAAAACAGAAAACAACTATTGGCAAGCACAGAAAAGGAGAAAAACCACAGAATTCAGGGTTGCCTTTGTCTACAAATAACTGCGGCTCCTAGAGGTGGGGAGAGGCCATGCTCAGCATGAAGCTGGACATTCTCTTGTGCTTAGGATATTCCACCTCACTTCTCTCTGCACTGACTTCCCTGTCTCCAAGAACATAACAAAAACACCATGTGTGCACACACATGCACAGTCACAAAGGTACCCTTTATGGGTATGTCCTCTATGCTGGCTGTTGGCATAGTTTCTTGGGGAGAAGGAAATAGGTGGAAGAGAAGTGTCCCTTCTTGGGGCTTTCTATTACCAAAGTCCTGTGCACACACACATATACAGGTAGGAGTGTGCATGAGCACAGCCTGCAAGCACACACATAGACACACACTAGATTCTAAGGGAGGGTGAGGGTCAGGCTCTCTATGCCTGGGTTGGGCTCCTGCTGGGGCAGGTCAAACAGTGGTGACAGAGAGGAGAGGGTTGTAGATCCTTTTTCCATCAGCTGAGCGTGCTCCGTGGGCCAGCATCTCCTGGATAGTGATCCAGTTATCCAGGATCTTCTTGTTTCGCTTCTTCATGGTTTTACGGTGGCTCAGCGCAATGATGTTGAGCTCAGGCTTGCTCTCCCCATTCTGCTGCTCCCTCAGACACTCCAGACGGCTCTGCATCATGAATTCACGCCGCTTCCGTTGCTCCCGGGCTCGGATCAGGTGTTGCTTCCTTTCTTCCTTGCTCCAGTAGCGGCCCATCTTCATCTCGCTTACTGCATCATCATCAGTGGTCATACCACTGCGCTCCTCTCGGATCTTCAGGGCCCTGGCCTTCAGCAGCCGATCTCGCACAGGCCGCTTGGCCACATAGCGGGTCCCATCACTTCGCACCTTCACCTTCCATTCCATGCGGGGTGCTTCAACAGCTGTAGCCACCACCCCACCTACCCGAGGACCACTAGCCAAGCTCAAGGAGCCATGACGCAGATCCTCCAGGGTGCGTGGTGGGGCCAACTGCACACAGCTGTGGTAGTGCTCACTCTCCTGGCCACAATGACGCCTGGAGAGGTAAGGGCTGCCTTCAGGGCCCACACGCTCCAGAGTAACGCCTGTCTTGGTGCTGCGGCGGAAACGCTCCTCTGTGTGCTGTCTCCGGCCCACCTCAGGATCCCGAGAGAGTGATCGGAACTTGGCAGGGCTCCCTGGTGAAGGAGATCCCTTGGGGTGTGTGGTGACAGGAGGGCCAGAAGCGGTCCGGTTCAAGTTGGAATTGCCAGCAGTAGATCGCTTCATGGGGCTCTTGGGCAGAGGCTCTACAAACAGTGGAGTGCTGCGACAGCTCTCCCCAGTGTTGTAGGCACTGGTGCTGTCCTTGTCTGATTTCTCTGGAAGTTCAGAGATATCAGATAGCTCATGCTTTTTGGGCTCACTGGCTGTCAGGTCATAGAGGCTCTCCTCCTCCAGCAGCCAGGCTTTCATACAGCGTTCCCGTAACTGCTGCATCTTCTGTGCCCGCAAGATGTTTCGGCACTTGAATTCTAGGTGCCGAAGCTCCTCCTCCAGCATGGCCATCTCATGGCCGAGGCTCTCATTGCGGTTGACATCTAGGGCACTGTTGCCACTGGAGGCTTTCGGAAAGAAGATACCCAGCTGGTTGCCATTTTCCAGGTGGCACTTGATCTCCAGCAGCTCCCGGTAGCGTTCATATTCCTCATCGGTGAGCCCAGGCAGGTCAGCCACTCCCAGCCCTGCCCCTTCAGCCAGCAGAGAGTCCATGCTGAAGTGGAAGTCCCTGCTCTGCAGGGCATCCTCTTGCAGGCCAAACTTGCGCAGGCTTCCAGGGGTGTTGGTGGTGCTGAGGGGCTCATCTCCCAGCAGGTCATGTTCAGAGCTCTCTTCATTGCGGGTACTCTCATCAGTCCGGCCCACCCCACTGTCCAACTCCTGGCTGTTACTCAGGCCTGGGCCCCCATCAGGAACCCCCTTCTCATCATTTCCAGGCTGGGATAGAAATGACAAATACAGTCAGTTAGCTTCCCACAGAAAAGTGTGTTGCGAGAGGACTAGAAAGAAGTTCATGGCTTGTTCCTCTCTAGGCCTAGGTTGGACACCTACAGTCCCTTTCTCCTTCCTCCCTCTCTCTCCCTCCCCAATTAGCAGGCCTTCCTCATTCCTCACCTGCTGGACAGGGGGTAGCTTCAGCTTCTGGGCACGAAGGTCCCCTTCATTCTCAGACCCAAAGTCATCTAGGAAGTCATCTCTGTCACTGTCTTTCCACCGCTTTGCTAGCTGCAGAGACAGATATGAGCTAACCAATACTTTAAAAACCTCCCCAATGTACCTCCACTTTGCCCCAGGCAAACAGACTACCAGCTTACCAGCTTTCCAGACAGAAAGCCTTCGAGGGGGTCTGTGTCATCCTGTCAAATGAACATACATACCTGGCTCTCAGGCCGGGCTACCAGCAGGGAGATGTTGGTATTTTCCTCCTGGCTCAGGATGGCCACTGCTTCTTCTCGGTTCT